TTTAATTGTACACATATTTTCCTAATATTAACATTCAACAGATTATCTCAATCAATATATCCTCTTTTACTATAGGGTTAGAATAATAATAAACTAATCGGTAAGTATCAGAAGGGGTTTTTGTAGAGATTTTAGTAATTTCAATAGTTGAGATCGTGAGTCAATTGAAGCTAGACCACCATGGAAAACCTGTAAGCATTGGACGGCTATTTCGTCTTAGTATGGGACTACTCAACAGTGGGCATCCACGATCCCCCCACGACATTCGGACCCAGGACCTATCAGTCTCGTGTCCGAACGCTTAATTTCTAGACTATTGAGCTGCCCGGCATCCAACGATTTTAATGTCTAACTTCAACCAATCTACGAAATTGCGCCACTATCCATCATTGTCTTCACTGAGCTGATATCAGTAAGTATAATACAATTGTAATATGATAAGTAAATATTTTGTTATTATTTCTAAATTGAATAATATACCAATGAAAGAGTATGCTAATGGGATACAAACAAACAAAATTGACATAAATGCATATAGACCATAGTGTGTTTTCTTTTTGTCGTAGTACACTTTAGGTAATATTTTCACTAGAATAAAAAAATACAGTTTGTCTAGTGGTTTGTTTGTTTGTGTTTTATTTTCAATTATCTTATATTCAAGTACAATCTGAAAACCAGAAAGAAGAAAAGAAAAAAAGAAAGAAAAGGGAAAGAAGAAAAGAAAGGAAAAAAGAAAAAACTAATAATTGATTGATAAGATTTCTTTTTTTTCTGAAAAATAAAATTTTTTTTTTGATAAGATCATTAAGTCAATAACAGAAAAATATTTTGGAATGAAGTAGTTCACCTTTTTTCTTTTCTTTCTCCCCTAATCATGATTATTTTGTTATTTGTAGTTAATATCCATCAACAAAATGAGAATACTGTTATTGTAATTCACAATTGATTGATCACTATTGGGTGATGATCATGTGTATCAGGTCGTTGTTAGTGTTGATCGAATACTATTGACCAAGTTGCAATCTGGCCATTAATCTAGGTGACTCGATAGTGTGTATACTGTGTTGAGATAAGACGGTGGTTGGAGGTAGTTAATAGAAAATCTTGGACCGAGGTTTTGTGCTATTTGGGACTCTTCAGCAAGTCGTACCTGTAATCTTGAGGGGACTGATGCTCCCTGATGGATTCGATCCCATGTCATCCAGCTTCACAGTTAGAGGCGTTACTACTGAGCTATTCGATCCGCGACTGAACTCCTGTAGGACTGAGATGTATTTACGATTAATTGATCATTGGGCGGTGATTAATGTCATATGTGTCAGGTCGTTCTGAGTGTTTATCGAATGCTATTGACCAAGTTGCCATTTGGTCAATAATCTAGGTGACTCGACATTGTGTGTACTCTGTTGAGATAAGACGGTGGCTGGAGGTAGTTAATAGGAAATCTTGGACTGAGGTTTTGTGCTATTTGACACTCGTCGGCAAGGTGTTATTCATTCATGATATTGTCTACATGTAACTTATTTATCAAGCATCAAGTTAGTATACTCGGTGTTAACATACTCTTGGTGTGAGTTCTAATTCAAAATAATGACTATCCAAGAAGAATAGATAAAATGGAATTTGAAGCTATAATACAATGAATGAAGATTGAGTCATTCATTGGGTAACTAATCATATAACTCATGATATTTTAATTTATTTGACAAGAAATACAAATCACAATCGAAAATACACTTGATAATAACATCATTCACGATATGGCGATGTTATGCTTTTGACTTGGACAAATCTATATCAAACAGTTAAAATGGCTGCAATTAAACTCAATTCGATTTCGTAATTGTGGCAGTCTACTTAGGGACCAATCAGAACGAAGCGGGAATTACTATATCCGCCATCTTTGGAAACGATGGTGGTTGGCTTTGCTCGTTCTGTTTTTTTCGATGTTTCCTTTGTGTAGCTGCATAATTTAATGTTTCAGTGTGCTGAGATTCTGCGGTTAATATAATACTCTGAATGTTGTAGGAAATTTTCATTGAATCAACTTTGTTTTCTCAGTTTTTGCTATTGCTACTCAAGTCGACTAAACTTAATTATACGATAACCGAGAATACTAAATTAATCTGGTGTCATAATTATTGTTTCATTTGCACAGCAATGTTACTTAAAGTAGTTAAATGTAAATAATTAAACCTATAAACGCAAAACTTACTTAACAGAAGACAAACGTTATTGTTTTGAGACTGAAGTCAACAGTCGCTTACTTATAAAACCATGGTTCACAGCACAACAAACCTTTCTCCAGTAATATTATTGATGACGGTCTACTTGAAAAAAATCAACGATGTGATTAAACTTACTATGACTTAAGATATCATCCCAGTATGTAATGCATGTGCCACGTAATGCAGTTGGACGTGCCAAATAAAAATTACAACCAGAGCAAAATTCACAGTAAAATCTAGTTTTTAGTACAAAATATCATAATATGGCAAATTAAATGACTACATGAACATAACCATGACCGTTATTCCACTTGGCCATGAATTAGGTTTACATGACAACGTTAAGTTTAAAACTACCCCTTAAAACAAGTATTTTAGCCTGTTTTCATAGCTTCACAAATTTCGACATTAAATAAAATTTTATTGAATATCATTTTTCTTTATTGAGATCACGAACCGATTGATATTAGACCACCATTGAAATCCTGGAAGCAGTGGACGGCCGTTTCGTCCTATTGTGGGACTCCTCAGCAGTGCGCATCCACGATCCTCTTCGCGGGATTTCAACACAGGGTCTTCAGTCTCGCGCGCGAACACTTAACCACTGAGCTGGCCGACAACCAATGGTGTTAATGTCTAACCTTAACCAATCCCGCGAGCCGGATCGTGGATGTGCACTGCTGGGTAGTCCCACAATAGGGCTAAACGGCCGTCCACTTCTTCCAGGTTTTTAATGGTGGTCTTATATCAATCGGTTCATGATCTCAATAAAAAATACTTAATAATCTCCACAACACTATACTGAGAATTGTGTTTTGTTACATTTTACTAAGAATGAACTAAAGTGACTGAATTATCAGAGTAGAATTGATAAGCAATTAGGATTTCGAATAATTTATATAACAAATAGCAAATGTATCAGCTATTTAAATAACACAACGAAACTCTATTTATTAGGTATAGTTTGAGTGATAGCTAACAGGGAAATATAGAAAGGCCAATATATCCTATTTAACAGTCAATAGTCCGAAGTATTTGTACTTCACTTTCAATCTTCACACTGATAATAGAAACTTTTGTTTTTCTCTTCAACCGTCAAGAGGAAATATTTGAACTCATACAAATTGTAGCAAACAAACTGTGTGTATCAACACGTTCCATACAAGTAATTTGTATATTTTGATTGAAAGGAAGTTGAAATATTCCTATTAAAATATGTTTGAGAATGTTTTGTATGTGTATAACTTTTAGTTTTATTTGATTCACTCTACCTGCGTAATATTCTATATGATACAATGGTTTAACCGTTACTGTGGCTTGTAAATACTACGTGTTTTCTCTATGTTGACACTTTTCACAGGACCGACATTTTACTTTTGAAATCACAACATACAACTTATCACATTGTTTGAATATGACACTTAATGAAGGTTATAATCACCTTTTTGACTGTAAGAATTAACAGATGAGTTTGGACTTAAGATAAACGATGATGAATAGCTTCATTATGTTTAAACGATTAGAGAATGTAAAGCCTAATAATATCAGTCATTACCGTAATTCTTGGTAGTTGGGTAAGGATTTCAAATTAATATGTTTAGTTTAATATATTGCAGTTCTTTAAATAAATACTAAACATGTCCTAACTAATGTATTTCACTCTTTAAAACATTTTTATCTACTTATCAAGTTATCCGATCACATTATGAACTATAATGAAGTCAACAGTTTCAGTTCACTCCTGATTACCATTAAATTATTAGTAGTTAGCAACGGAATTCATAGAGTATATTTCGTTGCATTTATGACTTAACAGCTAGATATTATCTACGTTTTACTGTTGATATTTATATTAGAACTCGAACTCAATAACTCACACTTCAACCGCCTAACGCGTTAACCACTTACGTAGTAAGTCCATATAGTCAGTCATCTACAACTTTGGACCTGGCACATATATGGATCGGTCCAATTTAACGCACCTCGTTAGCACAACAAGAATAACGCTAAATTCATAGAAGCACTTACTTCAATATTTAAAAAAATTTCATATAAGGACCTGATATAGAGAGAAAGAATTTATTCGTAGAAAGAAAGGTATAAAGTAATTTCCATCTCATGGTTTAAGAGGAGACAAACGGTGTTACACCTACACAATTGTGATCGATTCTCAGACATGTAACCAAGAGTCTCCAACCATTGGTTACGATGGTCATGAGGATCCCAATCAAGTATTCTACATCTACCAACACCGCTCAGACCAGAAGTTGGTGATTTCAAGGACTGATACCATGTTTTGGTTTAGCCACCCCTAACTTTCTTCCAACCATCTCCAACACTATTCAGCACTGTGTGTCGTGGTAATCGATGTTCAGGCATGCATAACTCATGGCCCAACCATCTCAATCGATGAACATTTACAATCTCATCAACTGATTTACCATCATCCCCTTGGAATAAACTTCTAAAAACACAGATGTTGTTTCCCTGTTTTAAAAAAGAAATTACTCGGGACTTTTTTTCTCAATTTCACTTTATTTTACTTATTAAATACATAAATACAAGTAAATGTTCATTGTTTTGACATGTTGTTTCAAGAAAAATCAGATAACTGAAAAAAATCATCAAACAACAAATCATAGAATATATAACCAAGCACTGACATATACATATATATAAGAGTGCTGATGATCGGCCTATGCTCCTTCACGAGGGGTAACAGGCGTATATATATATATATATATATATATATATATATATATATATATATATGTACCATATGTGCATGTTCTCATGTTTGAAGAAGAAACGAAGAATACAAACTTATCACGAATATAATGGAAATAATACAAATAGTAGTAGTGGTAATAATAATAATAATGATAGTATTGAATAAATTTATCACTTAACAACTATCATATGTATACAGTTACATTTATAAATATATATGGAGTGATAACAATCCAAAACAAACACAAAAAATACACACACACACCCCAAAAAGAAGAACTACCAAGAATAATATATAGAATGTTATAATGATAAAAACACAGCCACTTTTATATATCTAATATAATATTGTCGTTAGTTATATTAATTTCAGCATAAGATCATTTTAAAGATATATACATTACACAATTGAAAAGAAGAAAACAAGAATAAATTCTCAATTACTTGTTCATATAATATTTTAAGATGGATGATAGAGAAGAATTGTAACTCAGATTAGGTGTATGAAGTTTTCGATGAAGTTTTAATTCTCTGAGATGAAACAGGGTAGAAGTTTGTGCTGCTGTTGCTGCTGATGGTCATGATGATGATGATGTCGTTTGAAAGAACAATAAAAATTCCATGATTAAACCATCCAGCTCAAAGTGCAAAACTTTATTATTATAATAATAGTGTATTTTCTTTATATAAGTAGTATTTTAATGTTTATAATATAAGAGAATCTGATTTTAATGTATACACAAAAATGTGAATAAATAAAATGCACAATTTTATTGATTTTTTTTATTGATTTATGAAACATACCCATAGCTTGATGGGTGATACTAATTGTTTATCTCAATTTTCAAATTCTTTTCTTTTCTAGACCCCCCCAAAAAAAATTACAAAAATTTACAGAAATTGTTTATTCTCAAACAGCCTTATACCGTGATTATGTAATGGATTGCTTCAATCATTCATATTATATAATCTATTGATATTAATAAATACTATTACTAATGAAAGGTTAAACAATTTGATATCGAACACATTAGAAGTACCAATCATAAGAGTAAACAATCACATTAGATTCAAAAGAACATGCTCACTTTAAGACAAAAATGGAAAAAAAAACAGAAGTAAACAACAATTGAAACCAACAACTGAACAGAAGGAGAAAGTAAAACAAACAAACAAACAAATAAATAAACAACAATCTATCAAATTATGAATGATAATTTAAATAATTTGTTAAACCAATAGATCCCTGATTAAATTGTGAATTTGTTGTCACAGAATTAATTAATTGTGGATAACAGCCAGATTGTAAAAAAAGTAGATTCGATTGAATATTTGGTTGAATAGTAACAGTTTTTAATGATAATGTTGAATTTGTACATGAATTTGGTAATGATGGTTGTGGAATAGATGGTGGTGGTGGAATAAATAAACCATTATTTATAAGATTATTAGAATTTGATTCAATAGGATTAGATATATTTGTAGGTAATCCATTATATAATAATGGTATACATTGTTCATTTGTTATTCTTTGATTCATATTCATCAGTTTATGATTATTTATATTATGATCATTTGTATTAGTATTAACTATCCATGGTACATCATATGTTACATTATTTGTATCTGAATAAGATATTGGTTCATAGGACATTGAATTTAAACTTCCATCACCTATTGTACTATTTGATGTTGGTTGAATACATCTACCTAATTCTGTTTGAATAGTTTGTTGTCTTATATTTACAGGTAATGTGCCATGATTAAAACCAGATAATCCATTTAAAAATTGTTGTGTATTTAATAAATTAGTTGTTAATGAAATAGATTCAGAATTCAATTGATTTATAGGACAATTTGTTATTGAATTTTGTAGTAGATTTGTTTCTACAGAATTATTACTACTACTATTATTACTATTATTAGTAGTAGTGGTTGTTATTGTTGTAGCATTAGTAGTAGTAGTAGTAGTCGTTGTAATTGTATTTGGTCTGGATATATTACATAATGTATTTAATGATGATATACCACCACCATCAGGTGATAAATTAGGCACTTCTAAAATACTACTATGATCTGTTTTATGCGGTCTATATAATTTACGTTGATCACATGATGTTAATCTACAATGAAATGTTTGATATATAATAAAAAATAATAAAACAGTTGATAAAAATGTACCAGCTGTAGCTGCTATTAATTCACCTAAACTAAATTGTTTTATATGTAACATTGAATTTGTATAAGATAATGATGATATAGTAGTAGTAGTACTACTAGTAGTAGTATTAGTAGACCAATTATTTAAATAATTTAATTTACTTTCATTATATGCTGATAATGATAATTGATTATCGATTTTTAATAATGGCCATTGTAATTGTATAGTTGCTGTGACATTACTAATTATATCAATTCCAATACATGAATACCTGTCAATTTGTTGTTGTTTTATAATATCTAGTTGACTTTCTACTTTAATAATATCATTATTCATATAAGAAATTTGCTTATTATTCGGATATTTATGTGTGATATGATGATTGGATAGATTAACTAAAGTCATAGTGTTATTATTATTATGATGATAATACCATATAATTGATAATTCTCTAGATCCTTTCATTGAACATGTTAATCGAACGGAAGGATATTGTTGAGGATCTGTTTTCTTTATCATAGAATTTTCCATTTGATAAAGATGAGTTAAATCAACATCAAGACGTTCAAGTTGTGGTGGTGGACAATAAAGAATAAATGGTGAATTGAATTTTTCCCATGTATTTGTCACTGGATTATTATGATCATAAACCTCGGATAAATCAGTAATTAAATCATTAAATTTATAACCAGCTAAAGAGAATGGAGTTGAACATTTTGGTTGATTATCATCTTCTTCATCATTATGATTCCAATTATTATTATTATTATTATTATTATTTTCTATTGTATTATTTCTATGAGATCTATGTATAGATTGATAACGTTTTATAAGCCAATTTAATTGACAATCACAATGCCATGGATTATCATTAATTTCAAAATGTTGTAACTCCTTAAATATGATATCATATTTTCTATCCAATTGTTTAAATTGATTCCCATTAATAATTAGCTGATTTAATTTACTCATAGTGATTAATTGTATTAATGATTGATATGGTAATTCATATAAATTTGAATTACGTATAATTAAACTTTTCATATGAGTTAAACCATTAAATGTATTAAACTGAAAATTACGTAATTTAATTTCATCCATTATTAAAGTTAATTGATCTAAACCATTAAATGTATAATCTTCAATGTGAATATGACATGTAAACTATTATTCATGGAAGTGATTTTTTCGTTTTTTTTTCGAAAAAAAGAATCACAACAGTTGTCTTACAATATGTATATAGAAAATAACTTACTGACCTGCCTGACTGACTGACTGCCTTCCTACCTACCTACCTACTTACCCATCTACTTACTTACTTACTACCAGCAAAACCGCATTAACAATTGATCATTCATTTCATTAATTTATGAGTTACACCCTTCTTAATTTTGTCATAGTTATTGTCGTTGTTGTTGTAGTACAGTGTATGTTACTATGACATTTGTTGTATAAAAAAAAAATTTTTTAATTATTTGAATTTTTCATGATTGGAATAAATTAATCTTGTAAATACTATAACAACAAAAAGAAACGAAACTGCATGTTTTCTAGCTTACGTAGTTTAACAATGATATATTACGACGAATGACTTATAATTGTATTATACAGAGTTTGATCTATTGACTACACTATAACTTACTGAACTAATATATGATAACTAATTTACGAAACAATACAATATAGAACATTAAACTCAATGTAAGATTATTTATTTTATTTAAACACATAAAGATTGGTACAAGGAAGCACCAGTACATATGCGCTACAAAAATCATTCGATTTGTGTGAGGATTGGAATATTGCCCAGGTGGTTTTCCCTAGGGGTCACACTTGGAGCCTTTCACCTAAAGGTCTGATTCATAAGGCAGTGGAGAAACATGAGGAGATACAGTCCCACGATAGCCGGTGACTAATTAATAGTTCCTACGCCACTTGTCCCTTCAAGATAATGGAGCCATGTGCTCCATTGCTTTGGAATCAGGGTTTTCCAACTAACCTAGGTGAATCACGTGTCCACCAACTTGGTTAAAGCACCTGACATTCGCTTCTCGTCCTCTCAATTTCGTAAACAATACCCCCTCCACGAGAAGGAAATGAGTAGAACTTCCCTGTCAGTAGTTGTGTGCACGTGAGCATTTGAGAACATTTGGAGAGGGAGAGTTAACTCTTCCTACTCTCGGCCATACAGGGCATTTTGGGGCATTTAAATAACCAACTAAACTGTTTCAGAATATAATCGAATTCAATGAATAAATTTATTATCAGTTTGGGGGTTGTGGAGATTGTTAATTTTTTTATTGAAATCATGAACCGATGATGTTAGACCACCACTGAAAACCTGGAAGCACTAGACAGCCGTCCTATTGTGGGACGAAACGGCCGTCCAGTGCTTCCAGGTTTTCAATGGTGGTCTAACATCAATCGGTTCATGATCTCAATCAATAAATTTATTGTTACCATAAGCTACTATTATGTACTGAAATAATCTAGTAGATATTTCGTATCAGCTATCAATAAGAAGATTTATTTCGATCGATTATATATATATATATAGTTACTCTTGTTCATTTGCTTCATTATTATCATTATCATCATTAATTGCTAAGTCACCTAGTTATATTGAATCAATTGTTTTGAACAATAAACCTGTGCACTTATCATTCAGTTATTTTCATTGTCTATATTATTTATTTATGTTACTACATACTCTGTCATCTTTTTTTTTATTAAAAAAAGAATAAACTGTCATAAGTGTTTAGCAACAGAGCAAATAATATATCAGGCTGATGATTTGAATAAATACTTTTGTGTTGGCATTAGTAATAAAAATCAATAATAAGAAGTAGTAGATTATGAAACAATAGTAAATGAAACGTGGTATTATTAGTATAGGGTTGCGGAGTTTATTAAGATTTTTTTGCTTCAGATCATGAATTGGTTGAGGTTAGATATTAACACCATTGGATGCTGGCCAGTTCAGTGGTCTATAGTTTAAGCGTTCGCGCGTGATACTGAAGGCCCTGGGTTCGAATTCCGGGAGAAGGATTGTGAATGTACACTGCAGAGGAGTCCCATAGTAGGACGAAATGGCCGTCCAGTCCTTTCATGTTTTCACTGGTGATCTAACATCAATCGATTCACGATCTCGATCAAAAAAACGAAACTTGGTATTGACAATAATTTCTTGTTTTATTATAATTTGATAAAAATACGATGTGAAATGACTACTATTTTGGTTTTTTTCGGTAGTTAGGGATTGAAAGCATAAGATTTAAGTTCAGAAGTTATACATATAGTCTTGAAGAACATGATATTCTTTATTCGATTTGAACCCACGTCTCACAATAGGACGAAACGGCCATCCAGTACTTTCAGGTTCTTCATGGTGGTCTAAGTTTAACTAACTCATGAACTCAACTATTAAACCTGATGAAATTAATTTAACCACAGCAATTAGTTTATAAAAGTGTGACTAGACCATCAATATTAAGACCAAGACAAAATACACACACTACAAATAATTAGTTGGATTACCAGGAGAAAACTTTAATTTTTTGTAACCTTGTAGTGTTTCTCATCTTCTATAAACTATATACCATACAATGGAATCACAATTGATTGATCACTGGGTGGCGATCAATGTCTTACGTGTCTAGTTCTTATTAGTGCAGATCGAATGCTATCGATCATGTTGCAATGTGGCCACCAGTCTAGGTGACTCGACACTGCGGGCACTATATATTGAGATTAATCCTTTGATGTCTTATAAAAACAAGTTAATGTAGTATAAAAAATAAAGAATTTATATCAACATATCAAAGGATAAAAATAAAATGAAACCCATCTAACATTTGAATAAACTACAATAAATGAACTTAAGTTCGAATCCACGACTTGGTAATTAAAGATCCAACTTATGTTTCAAACAAAGGGAAAAGGTCAAAAGGTCATATCATGATGTCACTAATAAAAATAAGGTGTGGCTATCACAAGTAAAGCAATTTAGAAAACTCAACTTTTAATACAATGAAACACATTGGATATAATTAATTGTGACTAGAGATCTAATATATGTATATATTCTTTATCAAGTTAATTTTTACGCTAACTCAATTATCTTTGATGCGTCATTGAATATATAAGGACAATAATGAATTCAAAGACAAGTTTTATCTCTTTATATGAACTTCTTCTTCTTCTTCATCTGTTTTGTTTAGAACATAGGCATAAAATATTTATGTACCTGAATAACTCTGTGCATGTATGTGAGTATATATATGTATTCCCCAAGGGAGTATTTAGAAAGTGAATAACTCTTAAAGGCTGAACATTATTCGTATCTACGTCACTATTATAATTATAATAAGAATTAATAATTAGACTGACATCAATAGTTTAGCAAATGAAGAAATATAAGTATAAAGTTAATCAATTAATTCAAGCTAAGAGAAGAATAAAAGCGATCATAAACATACTAGACGACCGTATCTTTCTTGTATAGGACTCCTCAAGTAATGCCCATCTACAATCCAGCATACAGGACTTGAACCTTGAACTTTCGATCTAGTACGCGAACATTTAATCTTTAGACTACTGACCGGGAATTCATTGTCTTCGGTGGATAACTGCCTTACATCAGATACAGTTTGGACTCCATTAATCACGTCTTGAGTTTTTTTTTTAAATTGAGGTCATGAACTGATCAGTGTTAAATCACCATTAAAAACCTGGAAGCACTGGCAACCGATTGCTTAAATTTATAAATTTAACTAGTTCGAGATATTTTGTGTCCATCCTTCATACCAGATATGGCTGAACTTCACTGATGAAAGCTACTTACTAGAACCTCAGAATTATCTCCCACAGTTAGACACTTGTAAGTAAATGATAGTTGTGAATATAGAGGGTTTGTAGAGATTATTGAATTTCATACTTTACATCATGAACTGATCGTAAGTGGATTCCTGATAGAGCTGTGGATATCTACTGCGAAATGTTCTGTACAAGGACGAAATTGAAGTTCAGTATTTCTTGATATTCAATGGTTGTCTAAATAAGTTTATTCTATGATATAAACTATGATATTCAACAATCTCTTTAAAACCATGATGGTGATAAGATTTTCTTGATCTTTTTAATCTTCTGCCTCCAGGTATTTCACTTTCGATTGATGATACATACTATATATCTGTCAACATCAGTAGTACACACCACAAGATGTCTTCGAATCTACAAATTTCAAACATGTTGAAAGATGCAATATATAAACAAATTTTGAGGCAACATTGAATTCATACTTTTTTTCTTTATTCTTCAAAAAGAGCATCAAATGTCATCAAATATTCTGTTGGCTTGGTTTTATGTTGCATAGAAAACGGTTCATATGGTTGACACATTTGTCTCACTGACAGGTGTTGTCTTTGGATCATATATATATATATATATCCTTATGTGTGTGATCATTTCGATAGAAACACAGTTATTAAAACACAGATACTGAAAATTTTATCTCATTCACATTAAAACAATACAGAATGTTTCAGTCCCCAACTGTGCTTAAAATGGAAACGATTCAACTGTATTTAAATTAAATTCACTTTGTTGTGTTTACTTGAATCTTCTGTTTAGGACAGCAGTCCCTTATTGGTATATGTGCATTCTGTGCGGATTGCCTCGATATTGTCTTAATTCACAAGCATTATAAGTAAAGATGGCTGGTGGCTAGCAGCGAAATACAGGACGCTCGTTTCGTCCTATTCGGGACTCGTCAACTGGATGTACCTATATCTCAGAGTTGATGTTCACTCTGGTATTCGAACCCAGTACCGTTCGCTTAAAACGCTATCGCGTCTCAACTTTGAGATGCAGGCACATCCAGCTGACGAGTCCCAAGTAGGACGAAACGCGCGTCCTTGATTCCGCTGTTAGCCACTATCCATCTTTGCTTGTATTTAATTTACCCTAAAGTTAACAAGCGAAAAAGAAATCGGTTTCAATTTAATAAGTATTCAATATTTGAAAAAAAGAAGTGACTATTCACATAACTTCAAAATTAAATGTTTTTAAACTGAAAACACCTCCTTATATATTTAGTTAGA